AAACACGGTTAGATAGTCACAGCTGGGTGTGTTCAGCTAGCTTTTTGGATTTAAGGATTTTTATAAGCCCTGCTGGTAATGCTGTCAGAACCATTATGCTCCATGAGGCAACAAAATGCTCTGGATCTTTTTTCATTCCTCCCCCCTCCCCCGCCCACCTCTACCCTTCTTTAAATATCTACAGGAGGAAATTAAATGAGAGGAAAACAATCTCTTGCAGATGCAATATTAAGATAGTTAATAGCACAAACAAAAATGTAGGAAATGCAGAGTGTTTTATTCAGCCTTAGTGCATATAATACTTTCGATTCCTATTTTTCTGATCAAAGATCCAACTGTGTCTGTTGGGGAGAGGTCTGTGTTGGGCATGGTGCGGAGCTGATCTGACATGCCTGGGGATGTTCAGGAAGCGTTGCACCACAGTAGAGACTCTTTCACGGACCTCCAGGGAGAGTAAATATATTGCTCACAAAACGTGCTCCCCCTCCTTGAACAGCCAGCTCCACCACAGCCCATCCACACCCTGAAATCTTAACGATGGCTTGTGTCCCCAGGAGCACTAGACAGGAGCTGGGCCTTGCACTGTCCTGTGTACAAAGACTAGTTGTGCTTAGCACTTGAATAGGGAGCACAAAAGGAAGGGAGAGGAAGACACCTTTCACCTCCCCTTCTACTCCACAGAGTGCCCTCTTGTGTACCATAAAAATAGGGGATGTGACATGTGGCTGAGCTAACACTGCTGGTGGAAACTTAACATTAGCACTTCCTGACTTTGTGTAACCATAAAACCGCGTTAGCAGTTTTTGGCATTTAAGACATTAAATTAATACTATTGTCTACATACATCCCCACAGTTTTAAGGCGGTGACCAAAATATTTTCAATCACTTCAGGTAGATCACAGCCTTAGAGCTTGACCCTGCAAAGAGCTGAGTGCCACCTAAATGATGTTGAGCATCTTCTATCGCTTCTCTGGGCATTGAGGGCACTGACAGCCTTGCAGGAGGCATTCAGCACCCTTATGGAGCAAGCCCTTAATCTGGTAAATTGTGAAAAGGGTTGGAGGAATATACAGTAATATGAAAGCAATACTAAGAACTGGCACAGATAAAGCTCCTGTCGATATGGATACAGAGTTTACAAACATGTATTCATTTTGTGCCGTTGCACTCTATATGATTTTATGAAAATATGCTAATGAGCGTGACTATAATGTAACTGGAATATGCTTCATGCAAAAGGTCTCTTGTAAGGTATCATTACAAAGCTTATAATCTACTGAGTGTGGTCATCCTATTTGTATAAATGTATAACTCCTGTATATGAAACTAGAAATATGAAATGTAACTCTGAGGTCCTATTGTAATTATGCAAAGTGGGAGCCATTAATGGTGGTTTGGAATCTTGATGGCTCCCATCAACTAGGACAATTGACTGTAGATGGCTCTGTTTATTGGTAAGTCTTCCTGTATACTTGTGCTGGCAAGCGGGTAATGAAGTATTACAGTGACATGTGATCATGTCACATGAACTGGAATCCATCTTTAACCTGGTGCTTTTCCATTTAGAAGGAGGGGTGGGAACACAGAGAGGGACAAAGGATTCCCACCTTGTGCAAAAGATATATAAGGGGGTGGAACAGAACAAAGGAGGCTGCAGTCATGAGAAATCCCCTAGCTACCACCTGAGCTGGAACAAGGACTTTACCAGCGGAAAGGATTGGGCCCAGACTAGAAGGAGGCTAGTCTGTCAAAGAAGCTTATTGGAACATCTCTGAGGGTGAGATTTACCTGCATTTAGCTTCCTACTGTATTAGGCATAGACTTGCGTGTTTTATTTTATTTTGTTTGGTAATTTATTTTGTACTGTTTGTTATTACTTGGAACCACTTAAATCCTACTTTTTATATTTAATAACATCACTTTTTACTTATTAATTAACCCAGAGTGACTATTAATATCGGGGGGGGGGGGGGGGACCAAACAGCTGTGCATCTCTCTCTATCAGTGTTATAGAGTGTGAACAATTTATGAGTTTACCCTGTATAAGCTTTATACAGGGTAAAACCGATTTATTGGGGGTTTGGTCCCAATTGGGAGCTGGGTATCTGAGTGTTGGAGTCAGGAGCACTTCTTAAGTTGTTTTCTGTTAAGCCTGCAGCTTGTGGGGGAAGTGGTTCAGACTTGGATCTGTGTTTGCAGCAGGCAAGCGTGTCTGACTCAAACAAGGCAAGGTTCTGGAGTCCCAAGCTGGCAGGGAAAACGGGCTCAGAGGTAGTCTCAGCACATCAGGTGGCAGTCCCAAAGGGGTTTTTGTGATCCAGCCCGTCACACATTTGGGTTATGATTAACATCATGTATCTGCAGAACATGAATGCAAAATTCACTGGAAGTAATAAAACAATGACAATAAAGTCAGCGATGTCCCTGGGAATAAAGCACCTACTCATTCAATACTCCAGCATGCCAGCTACTCACAGGGCCAAATTCATTCAATGTGTAATTCCACTGAACTTGACAGAGTTACATAATGGATGAACTTGGCCAATGAACTCATGCTTTACCATATGTTTTCCATCTCTAGAGTCAGTGATGTGTCCAGTAGCTGGTTCCAAAGCAACTAGCCTATATTATGCAACATTTGTATAACAGCCTAATGTCCATTCGGACATCTGTCAGATGGTAAAATTTAAGACTGAACGCTGACTCTGTTTCAGATCATTCAAAGCTAGAAATTAAAACCCCTTATGTGGACTCTAATACACGCCTCTTGCTAAGAAATCACATTTACCACACACTGCATGTAACCAGCACAGAGGTTAACCACTGCACAGAAATCTTAACACTTCACAAATGATTGCTTTATGTGTTTCAAAATCTGGTAGTAGCTAGAATGTGCCACAGTGAAAAATCTCAAAAACATATTTTATAAAGTAAGTCACCCTACACCTGAAATAAAAGCTGATGCTTGTGAGTCACTTGAACAATATTTACTTTGATACTTCTTAAAATGGTATCAATGAGTTATTTATTGGATAACTTTGTGAACAGAGCTGGCAGAAAAAAGGGAACCCCTTTTCTGCAAAAAATTGGTATTTCTGCGGGGGAAGGGGGGGAGAGGGAAATCACCTCAAACCAGACAAATTGTTTTTCATGGAAGGGGTTCTAGAGAAAAATTCCATTTCAGATGAACTGCAATGAAATTTTTTAGCATCCTGGCTGCCCACTGGGAAGAGACTTACAGCTTGGCTGCTGGAGAGGCAGAGTCTAGGCACTCAACCTCCCTGTCTCCCCACCTCCCTCCCACCCGCAAGCTCTGGGTCCCGACAGGCAGAGAGTCTGGGTATTCAGCCTCACTCTCCAGGTCCAGAAGTCTCATAGGTAGAGAGCTATGACTGTAGGGCTTTTTGCCTCACCAGCTGCCAGAGCTGTGGGGAGGAAGGGAGGCAGCCCTCCGGGAAAGCTTCTGTTAATTTCACTGGGAGAAAGTGAAATTGAGAAGGCGGACAAATCCATTGTTTGGATTTTTCTTACAGAATTTTTTTCAGTAAAATTTAGATTTTCTTGTGGAAAATTTCAGTTTAGCAAAAAGGTAATTTTTAGTTGGAAAATCATTCCAATGAACAGTTTTCCAAAAGCTCTACTTCTAAATGCTTTTTTCTTATAGAGATTATTGGCTTTACTAGCCCTGCACCTGAGCAATGTCTATGAATCACCCTTATATCTATCGCAATTGTTCTATATGAATCTGACATTTTAACACTTTGTTTTAACATTTTATAGCTGTGAGATCTTAAACCTTGTAAATTATCTCACAGGACAGCAATTTTAGTTTACTTACTGGAGATTACTATACTATATACAGTTAAATTTGAGCTCTGCTCGGAACTAGAGAAACCTATATTGTGTATTAAATCTTCTTCTTCGGCTATCCCTCAATACAAGTATCAGGGGGTAGCCGTGTTAGTCTGTATCTACAAAAACAACAAGGAGTCTGGTGGCACCTTAAAGACTAACAGATTTATTTGGGCATAAGCTTTCTTGGGTAAAAACCTCACTTCTTCAGAGGTTTTACCCACGAAAGCTTATGCCCAAATAAATCTGTTAGTCTTTAAGGTGCCACCAGACTCCTTGTTGTTTCCTCAATACAAGGATGATGTCTCCTGAGGTGGCCATGGAAAATATGCCCTTCCCCGAAATTTGAGTACCTATCTGGAGTTCCTGCTTCAGGAAAAGTTTGCATCTATCAGTACCCAGGATTGGGTCAGAATTCATCAGAGAATCATCAGGATGCTGCATTAGCTTCCATATGGCTTAGCCAGTTATGACTGCATGCCAACGCACAGAGTTCCATAGGCAGCCCCTTACATCCCTGGCACATTTCTGGAAATTTTCAAACCCCAGTTGAATCTGGCACAAATGATTGTGTCACCTACGGACGCATAGGCTACCTTTACCTGAAATGGACCACATTTCCACCTCTCCCTGCACTCACCCAGTTCACTGTTTTCAGGCGGCTCATTACACCGCTGAGTAGTTACAGATCGGCATACTTACAGGTATGGCAGTGTAAGGTTATTATTTTTAAGAAGCAGAAATACCCTAATGGGTATTTCCAGGAAAAAATCACTTTCAAGGAGTTTTTACTGCTTGCACTTTCTGGTTGCCATTTTAAACTCCCTGTGGTGGAAGGTGGGGAGGGGGGAGGGAGCCACACCACTGGGACACAATCCACCATTAGCAGATCCATGGTGCTAGCTGGGGCTTCTAATAACTTTTTCATTGGCTCATAGAATGGAAATTCCTCCCATTCATATATTAATAAACATAATGGAGCCAGAAACTTACCAGGCTCTAGGGCAGCTTCTGTCCCATCTGATTCTGCTGCAGGCACCGCAGCAGGCTGTTCCTTGGGGGGCGGGGGAGGAGTCGGGGAGAGCATCAAACAGCTCCTCAGTTTGGCTGCAAGATGTGCTGTTGCTGGCTCCCATCAGTGCCCAACTTGTATTCTGGGGCCATCAGGGCACCATCCTGGCTGACAGGGTCATCATGCACTACCACTGGCTCCAGGCTGCGAGCAGAGCCCAGCACCTGGTCAAATTCCTCATAAAACGGACATGATGTTGGCAAGTTGCCTGAGGTGCCGTTCTGGTCCCTTGTTTTCCTGTATTCAGTCTTGAGAAGCTTAATCTGCTCCCTGCACTGGTCACCGGTCCAGTATATTTGCAATGCTGCCAATTTCTTTGCTATTTTTCTGATGGTGTGGCTGTTCCTGCTACTCTTACCAAAATCCACTGTTTTGCTGACCTCACACCAGAAATTTACCAAAATCTGGTTGTGTTCCTGTGACCATGAAGCAGAACGCTTTGCAAAAGGCTGCTTTTTGTCAGTGTCCATTGCAAACACAGAAGGCTTTCTGATGGTGTGTTTGCACCTTGGTGGTCAGAAGATAATGGAAGGATTAAATGCTGACTCACCAAGTTGCTGCACTACACCAATGGGAGTTGCTTCTGTTTCCCCTGGAGTCAACTGGAGATTCTTGGGATAGAGAAGACAAAGGAAGTTGGCCCATGTGATTGAGAGATACTTTTAGAGGACTCCCAGGATCTAAGTTTGTGGGGGTGAGCTGAATCTGCAAAGCAATAGGGTTCTAACCTTGGGTCCTGGCTTGACTTCAGCTCAGACCCTCCAACCCTACAGGGTCCTAGGATCCCAGGTCCAACCCAGAGTCTGAGCTTGTGTTTCCACTGCAGCGTAGACATATCTGTGATGACTTGAGAAATGGATGTGTTACAAGTGAGTTTATTGCACCATAGGATGGGAAAAAATACAGGCAGTCCTTGATTTTACAACGTTCGACTTATGACAAATAGCACCTATGACATTACTGAATTGACACCCTGATTTGACTTATGACATTGGTTTCAACTTTATGACGTTCGGTCCCGCAATGGAGTGGATTGCGGTTCCGAGTTACGATGTTTCAACTTACGACACAATTTTCAGGAACCAATTGTGTCGTAAGTCCAAGGACTGCCTGTAGATGTAAATATGGTTTGACTCCAGTAAATGGTGAGCAGATAGAAATAACTGACTAACTCTAAGACCTAGGAGAGGACTGCTAGGAAGCATGAATTTTAATGTCTGGATCTAGGTGGATCCAAGAAAAATACTGTCAGTCAATGGGGGGAAGTAAGAGGGTGAACTGAAGGATGCAGGGAACCATGTGTCATGCTTTTCCTAGCTGCTTGTACCTACACCTCTACCCC